TCAGTATCGGTGACCTTCCTCTACAATTAATAATTTTGTTACAATTAATTATTTTATATGTAGCGTTGATATATACTATAAAATGAAAATGAATTATTGATGGATTAAAAATTTGGTAACATCATTTGTTATGTTCAATAAAATTATTTGCACCCCCCCCCCTAGACAACTAGAATTCTACTATGTATCTCAACTAACAGCTAGAATTCTGCTGAACTATGTTAATATTATTTTTTATACATTTTTCGAATGTATAAAAAAATATATAATTATATTACTTTCAATAATTAATTATTATTCATAAAACACTGCTTCTATAAAAGCATTCTCCAATATATATTTATCTCATATATATAATATAATATTAATTATCTTTAATTATAAAAGAATCTCCCTTTTTGGAATATCAAAAATACTCTTTTACTTTATTCTTTCGGTTTTAATTTCCAGCGGACTTTTCTTTAATAGAATTTTAATTCCTTTTTCACGAATGCCCGTTAATTAATGCTATCGGCAAATGTCATTCACCCAGTACAAAACACTGCAGCCGATCTTTTCAAAAACCATGTTTTTCACCCATTTCGCGCATCGATACATGTTCGCTGAATATTAATCTCGTTAGTGGCGAAAAACACAACTTCAATCGCCTGTCCCATATCGGAACGCTATTACCGCCTCGCTCCCTTCGCAATTTTACATCTGCGCACTTGACATCCCAATTTAGAGAGAGGGAGAGAGAGAGAGAGAGAGAGAGAGAGAGAGAGAGAGAGAGAGAGAATGCAAGAGAGATCAGCTTTGGTACGTATTATGCACAGCTCCGCTGCTATACTACGTTAATGGAATTGTAATTCATACTGGATGACATGTGACTCAGAGTAGCAAAACGTGCCGCCACGCGACGGCCAGAGTAGTCAATGAGACATGCAGTATAACGATAAAAGTATCACAAAATATTAAGTATCATTCACATAAAGCTCATCGCAATTGTAATATGGTGACATGTGTAAAATGTTTAGAATAAATCAAATAAAAGATGTTTAAAAACTAAAATATATTCTACGTTATATATATATATATATGAAGTAATTTTAAATATATAATTTGAAACTTCTTTTTCTTGTATGTATATAAAAATCACAAACCTTCAACTTTTATATTTTATTATTACCTATATGTTTTTAAGAGATACTCCCCGTCTCTATGTTAGAATCACTTGCACTGAAAAAAATTTTGTTCATTTTTGGTCCAATGAATAATCGTTAATCAATGTCCGACTTAATGTAGTTAATTCATTGATACAATAACTGATTCATTTATACAACTATATATTCATTCTTGCAATAAAGTAATTCTAGTAATAGTTTTATAATCTAAATCATTATGAGGATTCATTGGACCATCAATTTAATTATTTTTTCATAATTCAATGAATATTTTATTGTATTTACGTACAATATTTTGGTTCAGTGTGCAGTTGTATGATTGCATTTGTTGTATTAACGAGCCTTAAGTCGACAAGAACAAATGTCCTGCTAATCAGAAACTCGTCGTCCCTTCGTGTGCAGTTTGTATTGTGTGGCATCGGTCCAATCGAGAAGAGATATGGGTCAGTGCTGATTAATCTCGCGCCACGTTCATTGCCGATAAGCGACATGGAAGATGGAAACGTAGAGCAGGACCCACAGGTATAATTCAATCGCCGAATGACTCACGACTGCTTCTTCGAAGATAGATGAGCTGAGAAAATCACCGGTCTTGAGAAACCTTGTATATCACGCGACCAGAATAAAATGTGGAGTGATCATTTGAACGAGGCGAATATTTTCTTTAAGAAGCAAATGCATATTTTATTATGCATAGAATTGAGCAGACGTTAAACTAATGCATAAACTTCATAAAACGAAAATGATATGATTCTGAGAAATAAAAGAAGATAATTATATATGTAGAGGTATTCATCTTTTCACATCATACCTAATAATTATAATTATAATTTAATAAAATTCTTCTTGAATAGAAGAATGAATCTGCACAAATTTAATGTGATTATGAAACGACGATAAAAGGATTGAATGAAAAATTACAATCTATTCTAAAGAATGAGTGTGAGACGTAATTATTGTTATATATTACTTTTTGAAGTTTGAACAGTGATCAGAAGAATTGAATCTATAACAGGATACTAATTGTCTCATCATACGGATACAAGTTTCTCTAGTGAAGTGGTTTCGAATATTGCGATCGTTTCTGTCAAATTCGCTTCAATATTCGTTTCCAACTGGAACGAGCAAAACTGTTATCAACGAGTGTCAAAACGAGTAACACGTTTTTTTTAACGCATCTTCGTTCAAAAATTGTTTTCGATAGTGTGAGTAATAATCTCGACGAAAGATATCATTTTAGTACAGTATTGCATGTATGGTCCGTGCGCAGAGGTGATTTATCAATATTGCATATAGAACATTAATACTATCAATAAAATATTAGTGCTAATCCGAGCGAATCCCTCAGAATACGGGTAAAGGGTAAGGGTTGTTATTGATAATAATATTGTATTTAGTTCTTGTTCATCTTTGTTAGTATACATATACTCTTATTAAATATTCCTTTTAAATCAAGTAATTTAATATGATACAATTTTAATGATTGCCAATAAAACATATTTTAAAATAATCAACGAGATATTGATTTCAAAAAGATCAACGAAGTATAAAAAACAAGAAAGTTATAAAACTAATTAATAAGTTATTAAATATGTAAATTAAAATAAGATAATAAATAAAAATGTGAACATAATATAAATGAAAAAATATAGATGAAAATAATATAAATGCCGAATATATACACTACCGTTCAAAGGTTTGAAAGCAATTGGAAATAAAGAAACACTGAGTAAACAAAATCAGTGATAGAGTGTTATACATATTACAGTAAGTAATCATTTTTCATAAAGATTTCAAAATTCATGTTTGTGATACTCATATCGATATCGCAATCACGTATCAATATTCTTCTCAATATTCTACGTCACATCCGTCGAAAGTGTCACTTCTACAGAGATGATACTCTTTTCGCCGTTTTCGGTACCGCGAACGAATAGCCGATCTTGCGCGCGACGATCAAGTTATAGTCGCTGCATAATGCAACGGATAGTGTTACAAATTCAATCATCTTTCGGATATTTTTATCGATGTCAGCCGCGCCAACGACGAGAGATGGGATATTTCTACGCGGTGTAACACACGCGCGTCGAGAGAATCTCGACTATCAATAGCACGCTGACTTAGTTATGCGCCCCTACCTAACGCTGCCAACTAGAATTCCGATATCCGTTAGAGCCAGCTTCTGTTGTTGCAAGGTAATACGATCCAGCGCGTTTTATCTCTTCTTAAGATGCCATACTGT